AGTCTTCCTCTCTCCAGGCTTCTTCTCTTGTCCCTAGGGCCTTGGGCTCTAAAGGGCTGCCCTTGGTAAACACCGAAGCAAAGAAGGCATTCAGCAACTCTGCTTTTTCTGTGTTTTTCATAACCAGGGTACCCACCCCGTTCACCAGTGTTCACCCATTTACCAAAGTTTCTTAATTTTTAACTAAGATTATTTTTTACTGAATCAAAAATAGATACGTTATATTTAAAGGAAGTAGTAATTAGATGACAATGTGATTTAGTTTTTCTTTCCACATGCTATTTCTGTCTTTTGGTACCTTCTCTTAGTTATGTTGAAGTTGAACAATAGTTATCCTAATTATATGTTACTGCTTATTGTATAAAACATCCCATGCTCTTTTTATGGACTGTAAAAGCAAAAGATGCTGGCATCATAAAGGTGCAGTAAGCAAAGCCTAAACATACTCATGTGTTGCAAGCAGTACTGGAATGCACGTAAGAGCTTAATGAGGGTTACTCCCTTCAGATTTATTCATTAAAAGGGATTATTTATTAAAAGGGAATATAGAACAGAAATTTCAAAATTCATGGACTTGTTCATGTTGTTGCTTAATGGCCAATGTGTTTTTCCCATTTCCTCATTAAGTTTGTAGCTGGGTTAAACTGTGGATTTGAGAGTAGTTTCTTCCTTCATTGCACGAAGGGGTTGCAGGTGAAGAGGCAATTTGCAAGTTTGAGAAAATGGATCTACCTGCCAAATATTCCTTCCAAGGAGTTACGGCGTCCATAGAAGGGTCTCGCTGTCTTCTCCCCAGCTTTTGTCCCTATTTCAACAGTCACCTTCCCTTAATTAAGGCTCTAGGTCTTACCTTTAGGTTCCTGTAATAAGGCACAACTCAAATTATTTATCTTTTATGTGTAAGGATCTTAATTAAATCTTAATTTTGAATCGCATAAAATGTTTGGGCGTATTTAGATGTTTGCTGCAGTGGTGCTGTATAGGGCAGTTAGTATTTTACCACTGACTGTTCTTCATCTCTTTTTTCCTCTCTTCAATGTTTATCCTCCTGCATTAGGCTGTGACAAGCACAGATTTCATAAGTGACTGAGATAATCTAATTGTCTAGGTAGGCTGCACTTGAAAACTGTTTGTTTTTCCCTCTTCCCTTAAGCAATTGGTGATTGTCTATATATACATTCACAGTATAGCTCTGCTTTTTCTGCCTCTCCAGTGTGTGCCAGGTGCATGGCCAAAAGAGGCTCTTTACAAGCTCTCTATTGCTCTCCGTCTTTCAGTTTGCATTGGTTACTTGGCTTAGGCTGTGAAGAATGCCAGTAGCCACCTTTTGGATGGTTACTCTCAGTATTTTCTTTTGCACTTGGACCTTACTTTTAAGGACTTGGTTACATGTCGGAGAAATTAAATCAGAAGGGAAGAGAAGCTGGGCGCAGCTGGGCCCAGAAGTGGCTGTTTCCAAGGGACCAAAGAGGACTTTGCAAAATTGGCTGCCATTGGGAAAGTCAGTCGCTAATGAAAGCAAAGCTGAGATGTGAGGACTGCCTTAAAGGACACAGTGCGAAGTGTGTTCATTGAGTACCACACAATGAAATCCTCTCCTTTGAAGTGAAAATTAAAGCAACTTGATTGCTTTCCTTCCCTTGCATTATAATGTGTGGCTGCTCTCAGTGAAACAGTGCTTTTGCTGAGGATACACAGTGCTGGCTCCGGTGGGCTGATAGGCACTTTGCTTCCATGGATGTTGTTGATTCGCTTGACTCCTTGCAGGTTCCACGAGTTGAGGTGGCTTAGGCTGGCAGCAAGCGGCCCACTTAATTATCTTATAATTAAGTACGCTGTCCAAAGGGTGACAAATGCCTCACTGAGGACAAATCGCTGGATCAGCCCAAGAGCCTCCTCTGAGCATTTTGCATCCCTTAATTCCCAGGACTCTGTTCCGTAAACTTGCTCCATCCTCCATCGGAGGGAGGCTTTGGAGGCAGGGGCAGACACAGTGTGTGTTTTGGGGGAGATGGGCCCTCTCTCCTGTCTTATCCGAGCTCTCTTCCCTGAGCTTTGTAACGCAAGGCCAGTGAATGAAGGCACAGCTGAAATATTTGGGATTGAGCTGAAGAAAGAAGGTCCTTCCCTTTCTGTCTCTTGTAAATACCTGCTCTTGGGGACAAAGATACGGTTGTACTTTGTACGTCATCAATCTCCAGTGCGCGCTCTGTGTGAATAATGTTTTGGCAGGCAAAACAGTATGAAGAACTGTTACTTTGAGTCTTTCTATTCTCTTAGAAATAACGACTGACAAGAATGTTACTCACATTACTCAGTGATCCTGTGTCACTTCCAACATCAACTTCACCTAGGAATAGAGGAGGAGGACTTTCATGTTTTTTTTTTTTAATTCCTCTTTTTAAATGTTCGTATTTCATAATTTTCAGTACTTAATAAACATTTACTTAACTAGTCATTCACTGACATATACGTACACTTTTATTTGGAAATTTTCCTATCTGTTCAGTTATAGGCATTCTGTGTGGAAATTGTGGATTATTTGTGTTTCGTCTAGTTGCACAATAAGCCGTCCAGTAAAGTCAATGTTCAGCTATTGCATGTTTACATTTTTGTTTTGCCCATTGCCTTACAAAGCATGTGGAAAACATATTGCCTTCACAATATTTTAGTCTGCTTTTTATTATTATTATTATTTTCAGTAGTTGGTGATCAGATAGCAGGCACTGTGCATTTTTGCTTCTAAAAGTCATCTTTCTTAGAAATGGGTTAAGTGGAAATTCGAAGGTGGATCCTGAATAGTCACTTAAAACACTTGTGTATGTAGTTCGATTTTTGAGACCAGGTTGAAGTTTTGTAAAATTAACATAAAAATTTGATTCATTGGAACTTCAGATTAAAATAAATAACAACTGGATGATGATGATTTTTTTTCTGTTTTGTTAACAGTCTGCATTAGTGGGATGTCTTCTTGACTGATACTATTCAAAAATATTCAAAATTAAGGCTTTGGTCTGGCAGGATCAGACTTATTTGTTGTCTGCAGTGGGGACTGCTTAGGGAGAATGAAGATTATAACCTTAACTTGAAGGGACTGTGGGGGGAAAAAGAAGTCAATTTGGGGAGAGAAATTCATCTGTTTAACAATTAAAAAACTGAAGCTTTAAGGACTTTAGATAGTCATCACTTCAAAGCAAAATTGTTTTAGTTTTAGCAATGAAAAGATGTTTAAATTCCCAGTCACTAGGAAAATGTGTGTGTGTGTGTGTGTGTGTGTATTTTCCTTTCAGTAGAAATGCTGGTTGTTTGCTGGTAGTTCCTCCCTGCTCCTTTTTCTCCTTCTTTCTTTGACTTCCTTTCCCTTCCTTTCTCTGCCTTCCCACCTTTCTACTCCCTAACTTCTCTCCTTCCCCTTCTTCCTGAAACAGATTACTGTTGGCAAAATAGCAACAATTCCTTGTGTTGTTAATTATGGATTGCTTTATTTCAGATTTCAATCGAGAATGACTACCTAGGGCCCAGAAGAATTGAGAGTCTACAAAAAGAGGATGCCGATTGGCAGAAAAAAGCCCATGTGGCTGTGCTTTCTATTCAAGATCTTACAGTTAAATACTTTGAAATAACAGCTAAAGCACAAAAAGGTATTTTATTATTTTCTACTGTCCTGTACTTCAAATAAAAGATCTTTATTGTTTAGCATGTTCCTTATTGTCCTATGTGATTCTCCTCCCCCTTCCAGAATTATTCCTCCCCGAGAAAAAGGCAGTCATTGTTGCCTATTATTTTTTTAACTGTGTGTCTACTGAGTCTTTCACAAATGACCCTTCCCAGAACATCACCAGAAGCAGAGTAGCATATTTTCAGTAAAACTTCCAACCACCCCCTCAGTGTGATTGCATTAGCTGCGCTGTTCGTCTGCAAAGGATGTGAGAGCCAAATTCCCTGCTGGATTTTGCCCTCGGTGCGGGAGGTGGTAGACCACCATAGCAAGTGTTCAGTATCCCTATATCTCCTTTCCTTTTCCTGTCTCCTCTGCCTTTCATAGCTGTAAACATTAAGCAGCAACTCAGTTTGTCTACTCAGTGAGAACTGCTCTGTTGTTTAGAAGTCTTCATGGCATTTCTATACTTGAAGAGTGCAGCAGTTTTACTGAAGAGTTGCTCAGTTAAACCAGGGCATGCGACTTGTATGTCTGCACTTTTACTTATATCGTTTTGACTTAAATCCTAAGTTAATTAGGGCAAACAAACCCAAGGATGTCGTTTTGTGTTACTTAGTGTGGTTTAACTGTGCACTCCCGCTGCAAGCATTTGTGTCCCCCCTCTACCCTGCCTGAGTGCCGGTTCCTGTCTCTTTTCTTTGAATTAGTAACAATGATGATGCAACCCAATGAAGGAGCTGTATATACCTGAAATAAAATCTTTACTGATGAATCGTGTTTTTCATCTCCCCATATGCTTCCTAGATCTGCCTCAAAGGAAGCAGTCAGTGCAAAGAAAGAATACTTTCAGTTATACCCCAATTAAAATGAAATGAAACTGCACCTTATTTTCAAAAAGCAACTAAACTAGCCCAAGCATGTTGGAATTCATTTAATTAGAGCACATTTTCAATATTTTTAATTAAATTGACTCCTTTTCTTCTGTAATGCCAAGTAAAAGCCCTTATTTAGGGGCTTTTAACGAATGTATTTTTACTATTACTTAACTTTCGTTTTGTTCACATATTGTTTTTATGTACAGGATTTTATTTTGTAATGTCACAATTGTTGGGGAAAAAGCACAGAGAAATAAAATGCCTGGAGAATATTGACAACTGTAGACCTTTCCCTGCCTTTTTTGTTTTGCTTTGCTTTTTGGCCTCCTGCTAGTCTATCACAGTGAGGTCTTACATACAAAAATAATAATAGAGAGAAGAAGGGAAAAATACAGGTGAGAAGAGTAATGAGTGATTTTTTTTTAAAAAAATATCTTTATTTTTATTTTCTTTATCTTTTTACTGCATATAGTGTTGTATTTTCTAACTCTTAGGGACTAGATGCTGCTCCTTTTGATCATGTGACTTTTATGGCTTTGCAGAACTAAATACACAGAATCACAGGATTGATCTGTATATTAAAAATGGCAAAAACTTCATGTGTGTCAGCCTAGGTGTTGTCTGGGGCTTGAGAAGGGCAGGTCCAAGTTAGGCAAAGGGCTACTGCTGCTCTGAAGTCTTCCTGGAGAAATTCTGCTTTATCTCTGTATAGCAAGGCTATATTGTACTTTGCTTAGTTAGTTAAAATTAATGCTATGAAGAAATCTGCTTTTCGAGTTAAGAAATAGATGCTTTTGTTATTGAAATTTAAATCAGTATTCTTATAGTGTTCAACTTGAGAACCAGCTGAAGTTTTAACTTTAAATTGTAATTCTTATTTCACTCTATTACAGATTTCTATTAAACTAAAGATTGCACTGTAGAAGTTGTCAAGGGCAATTGGAGATGAGTAAGCAGTTGATTGGGGCTCTCAGAAACAGGGAAAATCTGGGGTGCAGCTTAAGAACATAGGCAGTTTAAGAAGCATATGCTGCACAGGTACTTGGAGTGTTTCCTTTTTGGTAAAATAAAGCAAAACAAAACAAAAAAGGAATTAAAATAAGATGGCCAACAAATACCTAGTTGTCTGTTTACAAGAATCCCAACAATACTTACATCTTGGATATGAAGGCTTTTACTCAAATGAGTAGTTTTGCTAAGGGACCTTTATGTGTTTTGGATGCACATGTGTGCAAAGTCTTACATTAGGATCACTGATGATCTGAGAAGTAAACCGCTAAACTGACTTCCTTTTCCTCCCGTTTTGTAGCTGTGTATGATCGGATGCGAGCAGACCAGAAAAAATTTGGTAAGGCAGCATGGGCAGCAGCAGTGGAACGTATGGAGAAGCTGCAGTATGCTGTTTCTAAGGAGACCTTGCAGCTGATGCGTGCCAAAGAAATCTGTTTGGAGCAGAAGAAACATGCACTGAAAGAGGAGGTAATTTTTCATTCCAATAAATAGAAAAAATGCAGAAGAATATAAACCACAATAGAGAAGGATTCAGGGCTGATGCACTTTGAAATAGAAAAGGCATGTCATTATCTTTCTAAAATAAAAACCTACATTTTTATTCCCTCTTCCCCCCTCCCATGTAGGAAATGGAGTAGCATGACATTTTTGTGCTACTTCTGTATGTTTTCCTTTCACCTTTTCCTACTTACTAATAAAACCCAAGGGCATTTTAACATCTTCTAGAGATACTTTTTTTGCATATTAACAGCTGTTGCATTTTTTATTGTTAATTTTTACAACTATGCACTGAAACAAATATAATGGGAAGAAGGAGTGGGAACATAAATCTGCAGCTATGTCACCTCCACACTTGAACTCTGAGGCCTGAATATTTTTTTAGAGTGATTTTGACATTCAAGATAGAAAGTATCTGAACATGAATACACGCAAGCACTTGCCTCCTCTATTGCAGTCCCTTTTTCTGCTTACTATAACCACTAATGCAGTGTTCTGGAGAGGTAGGTGCTAGCAAGAGTTTTCACAAGGAAGGAGACAGCATATGTTAAACTGTGTTTGAATATCTGGCAGAAAAAAAAAAGTACACGCTTGTTGGGTTTCATGACATCTACTCTGAAGCAAAAATATTTCTCTGCCTCTTCTAAAATTCTTTCTTTTGAATGTCATATTCTAAGAATTTATTAGTAATTTATGTTTTATCCATATAGATACTTTGTTTTTAGAATGCTTTTCAAATGCTTGTCAGTCAGCAGAATTTCAGTGAAAGAGTGGCTCTTTTATGAAAAGATAATAGCTCAAGACTTCAACACTGTACATTTGTAAAGCTGATAGAACTGTGTGCTTTAAATGGAGCTTTTGTAGAAGTAAGTGGTTTTGCTTGTGCAGATTTCATAGAGTATATTAATCAAGCACTTTTTCTTTCTTGAAAGTGTTCAACACATTTTCTAGGTACCATGATAAGCAAATTATCTGCCTCTTTCCAACCCGAATGATAATAAAATGTATTTTATTGTGTTGATTACTTTAAATAGCCCTTTATGAATAAATTCCATTTGCAGAAGCTGCATCTTTTGATTTTGATTTTAATATAGAATTTTCCAAGGTCTGTGTAAAAAATTCTTAGTTTAGCTGGAGAAGATAGAGATTAGCATAAAAACTGCCAAGTTGATAAGGCCTATATAAAACTGCAGGTAGGAGCAATCTATGTTGGAAGGGGAATTGTAGAATAAGATTGAAGGAAAGTTTGTTAGCGAGTTCTTCAAGAATCAGTCTCTGAATTGACCTTCATGTTTAATACTGATGTTGTCACAATAAAGGTAGAATCTGTTGAGGCAAAGCTGGGAGGCTCCTTTATTATAAATAATTGCAATGTCGTAGCATGCTGCAAGAACTGCATAATCCTAGAGACTAACACTCTAGAAACAGAATAAAATTACAAATTGCAAAGTGCAGCATTTGAAAAAATTAATTAAGAAAAGTTATTTTTTTTAAATCTATGGCATTACATAGGGATTCATCAATTAGCAATAATAAAGAAGTGCAAGTATCTGGAGATCCTGCTTGAAAACAGAGTGATCATGTATATGTATATGCCGTACCATACAGTAGTAGCCAGAGATACTGAGTTAACTCTAAATTTGCCTGTGTTGATAATGGAAATAACAGTTAAAAGTGCAGTGGCACTGGCCAAAATCATTAACAATTTCTGAGAATTTTTCTAACCAGTAATAGTCGTGATTCTCCTGGCAGCACTGGATTTTATCTTAAATAGATCTTCCTGCTGCCCCTTTTCCCTGACTTGTTTAAAGAGAAGTCCTCTGCATGCTCATCTTTTACTTTGTTGGATAAAGCAAGCCAAGGTAGGCCCCGTATTCACCTGACTGTCCTGCTGACCCTTCTCTGTAGTTGCTCCACTTCCCACTTGTTTCTTCACTAGAGGTAACCAAAATTACACGCATTATTCGAGAAGAAAAGCCAGTGCCATGTACAATACTAGCAATATCTCTGCTATTTACCTCTTGGATTAAAAACTAAGGAGACACCATGTAGAAATCATGTCGCCTTCAGCTCTAGGTAGGTCTACTGAGACACACGACTGCCTGTTCCTCTTCCTTGCACTGCAAAAATGTTGTTAGGGAATTTTATAAATTAGGAAGATCTACTTGGAATTACCTGTAGCTTTTGGGAAGAGGAGCTGGTTGGCTGCCCTTTGACTTTTTTTCTTTTTTCTTTTTTTTTTCCTTTTGAACCTTCATGGATGTTATTTACTGGGTAAAATCCCATAAAACTGTAGAAGTTGGCAGTTGAAATTTAAGGGAGTCCTCTTTTTACTATTTCTCTTATTTTTTACCACTGTAAGAAATTATGTTAAAAAATAAAACAAATACGAATATGTGCTTTTTTTTCTCATATATGACTTGTTTAAATACTACTGCAGTTGCAAGTTTAAAAACTGCTTTAAAAATGCTGAGTGAGTGATAGTGTCTTAAGTTTTCTTAAAAGACCAATTTTAAGATCTTGAGATTGTATTTACCACTGATGAACCTCCATACACAGGAGAATATTGAGCATTATTATTTTCCTGATTTGTACCTCTTAAATTCCATCTGTTGTTGTTGTGAGTTGTGTTTGAAGGGAATGAAATCTTTCCTTTTGAGGTAGACCAGAATCTATTTTTGTGGTCGGGTTGCCAAGTCTTGTTCTCATGACAGTAAACAGAAACATGAAATCACAGTGAGAGCACTTTTGCAATTCTCTGAACTATGTAAAATAGTTGGGACAAATGGAAGTGAATGGCTGGACATTTAAATTCCAACAAGGCCCTTCTTGCAGGCATAGGCTTCAGTAACTCATGTTTTTTGTTGGTTTGCTTTTTTCACCTTTAAAGGTGGGAAGTACTAAAGATTCAACTTTAGGTTTTATTTTAAACAGTAAATATTCTGCAGCATTTTCATAGAGAAAATTATTTTTCATCAAAGTTCTTCATTTCTTTTTTTTTTTTTTTTTTTGGTAGGGAGTACAAAATTCTAAGGGTACACTACTGTAATATGCTTCTTTCCTGTATATTGAGCATGTTCAGTCAAAGATTTACTTGCTTCCACTGACTTCAAGGACTTAAGCACATTCTGGAATTCATGACTGTCATTTAACTTTTGCCTGCGTTGAGGCTTCAGCAAAAATAAGAATTTTATTAATAATTCTATTCACAGGGCATGGTCAGATGTCTCTAGCAAACTGACTTTTCCTATAGGAAATGAATAGTGATATTGGTAGAGATGTAATATAATAGCTTTCAGAAAAGTGTGTTTTACTTCTCCTGTATCTTTTCTAAACTGTTTTTGGACAGTTGCTTGGAAAGGCTAACTAGCAAACTGATTTTCAAATTTAAAATAATTTGAATTTGAGGAAGTGAAATAATAGTGTGATTATTGTAGATGCTGCATTCTGGGAAATATATTTTTTTAATGTAAGTGTGCTTGAATTGTTATTTTTAAAAAGAGTTTAGGAATGTTTTTGCCTTTTTCACTTCCAATGCTTGAGTTGGCAAACTAAAATTGGCAGTAAATGCACCCTTTTTTTCTTTCCTTCAATGCTACATAAAATGTTTGTATAATATTATCCATTTCAAAGGATTTTTTTTTTTACTTTTTTTTGAGGTAAAAAGAATATTTTAATTGGTTATTGTCTTTTTTTTTTTTTTTTTAAGGAAAAATCTAAATTTTAAGCAGCTAAAGTAAAACGTGAATACATTCGGTAGATAAAACTTCTGGTAGTAGGGGGGTTCTATTAATAAGAAAGTATGAGAAAATTACTCATAACCTGCTCTGGTCTTAATAGCAAAATACCAGATATTCGCTTCTTTTGAAATTGCACAGTTGGAACCTAATTTACTTTTATATTGTTTTTACTGGCTAATGACTAGGTAATTGTTTTTAAAGAGCAGGAAGGAGGTCAAATTCCAGTATTTAAAAAGGCTTTTCTGTTCGGACGACTTTGTGAATCATTGAGGTTCAGTTCCCATTTTCTCAGAGAAAGATGATGATCTAACTCAGCAGAGGTTAGAAAATCAAAACCAAATTCCTTCTCAGGGCAAACTGTTAAGCCCCTTTGTTATTTATTTATTTATTTTCCTATAGAGAGGAAGATAAAAGCTGGGTATTCCTTTAAAGAGATTAAAATGATGAAAGACTTTCCTTAATAGGAAAGGTTTTGGTTAAAAAATAATAGAAAAACGACCTGTCAGAGGAGCCACTATTACTGTTAAATATGTACGAGCACCGTTGGTTCAATAGGTTGTCTACTCATCATGTTCTGCAGCTCCTCAGAGAGTAGCAGCGATGAGTTAAAGTGAATGCTTGGACTGAGTCCGTGTTACGGGAGGTGCATTAAAACATGACTTTTCGTTTTATCCCAGCAACAGCAGATGACTTAAAAGACTGGATTATACATAATAGAAAATGTCATAGTAGCTATTAATATGAGTAATAGGATTTTTTATTGTGAACTGCAAGTGAGTCAGGCTGTAGAAGACAGTGGATGAGAATGACCCCAAATGAGCTAATGGCAGTGAAGACCAGTCAAGAGGAGTGACGAGTGTTGATGCTGAATATTGGCACAAGGGAATTGGCTTGGGGCAAACTGATTGTAAATACCCTTGGAAATACAGAAGAAAACTTCTGGCAATGAGAAGTGAGGATTTGGAGCAGCCTTCCAATAGGAATAACAAATACTGCATTTTCCGGAAGCTTTAAAGTTTTAGTTTGTTTTTTACAAAACCAGCGCAACAATAACAATGTAGAAACTATTTTAACAATGCATTTTGTGAAATCAGTTAATTTTAGTTGGATGTTCTGAAAGTGTTCTGTGATGGTGGAGAGCTGGATTGTGTGCCGCTTGCCTCTGTGTGCCATAGTTCCCTGTTTTCCTATCAACCTTGTCTCGAGGTCTCTTGTAGGTGTGTTTATACCTTGTCAGAGACTTTCTGTGTTAATTTCTTTATCTTTGGCAGGTTTGTAGGTGCCATAGAACTATGTTTTGCCATAAGAATGGCATAACCATTAAGAAAATGCCATAATAATAATAATGCCATAACCATTAAGAAAATTAACTTGCTGTTGAAATTCTCTGCTTAATGTGACTGAGGTAACAAAGCCCTTAAACACTGTTATGTAACTTAATACTAGAGAGATTAAATTATTTGCTTGAGTTAATGCAGGAAGTTGAGGCACAGCAGGAAGCTGAACTCAGATCTCGTAACTTCTAGTTCTTTGTCCAACTGCAAAATGCAACTGCAAACAATGCTGAAACCTTCCCCATACTCCTGAAGCTAGAGATTTAACACATATATAATAACTCTCAAAAAGATTTAATACAAATTGTTTGAATCAGAGGTCACCTTCTTTTTTTTTCTTTCTTTTTCCATTCTTTCTTTAGCTTGAGAGGCTATTTTATCGTAGCAGAAAGAATTTCCCATTGCCATTTCACTCAAGGTGAACCTGGAGTTGTTGTACCCCTAAAACAGAGCAGTCATCTGGCAACATGCGTCCCGTTTGCCTGCGAGGCTGCTACGTGGTGGTGGTTGGGCAGCTCCTCTCCCCGGCAGGCAGACACGGGTGAATCTGAGAGAAATATCGAGCTACTGTAACTGGAGTAGCTGATGCTTTTGAAGATGCCCAGTTTGCATCTCTATGCAGTCTGTATGCAACATCTGTGGACTTAAATTTGGGATCATCTTGTTTAAGGAGAAAATGTGTGCTTGCTTTCTCAGCCGACAAAGCACAAGTTCTTGGTTGTAGTAGAAGGTTGCATGGCATTGTATTAATTCGCTGAAAAAAAGATATTTTTGCTATATTACATCTTTTGCAAAAAAAGAGGAAATCCTTTAAAAATGCCAAATACTAGGATTCCATGCTTGGCAAATTAATACTGTCCCTCTTTTATGGAGGAAAAAAAGGAAGTGTGGGAGGGAAATATTTAAGAGAATTGGTTCTTTTATCCTCCTGGAAACTAGTCTCTTAATCGCTACAAGCGTGTGCCATCCATATGTCACTTGCTGTCTTGGTCACAACTAGTAACTTAGTAAGGATGCAGAACAGTAAACTGGCATAACAATATGTCTTGGTGTCACCATAGATGGAGACATAAATTATGTAACACTTAAGCATTTATTGATCCTTTTGGGATAACATACATAAAATGCATTCAGTAAATATGTCATGAAGTAAAAGCTTTGGCTTTAAAAACAGTTTTAATTTTAGTACTCCAGATGCTGTTAGCAAAAAAAAAAAAAAAAAAAAAAAAGTTTTAGACTTTCTGGATTGAAAATGATACTAATTTAATTTTATTTACTCAGAGGATCAAGTACTGCAGTAAAAAGTTCATGAGATTATTTCATAGTGTACTTACTGTATGACTTGGCAGTTGCAAAGAGTGGCCCAATGCCATAGATTCTACTACTATCACCTCTATATATGTATGTACTCTTATATAACAAGTATTAGAGATGTATGAACCTACATGACTGATCAAAAACTGTTTTCTGTCCTTGTGTGTATTTTTCCGTGTTATTTTTAGTGTCCTGTCTAAAGAACACTATCTGGCTAAAGTCATACCTGAGTTGTGATTTTGTTCTTCTGATATCCTAGAACTGTGTGTTTATTTTCTCTTTACGTTTAGATGCAAAGTCTGAAAGGTGGCACAGAAGCCATAGCCCATTTGGACCAGTTAGAAGCTGATTATTATGATCTACAGCTTCAGTTATATGAAGTGCAGTTTGAGATCTTGAAATGTGAAGAGCTGCTGCTGACAGCACAACTTGAAAGCATCAAAAGACTGATGTCAGGTACCTCATGTATGATGATTAGCATGTAATTGGTTTTAAAAAAAAGTCTCTTAACAGGCCTCCAGTAAAGTCTGTAGGAATGAAACAAGAAAAGTGGGGTTTTTTTTTTGTTTTGTTTGTTTTTACATTTGAACAGCACCTTTGGAAAAGGCGTGCTTAATTTTGATACTAAAATCCCTATAGGGTTTGTTTACGTGCTGACTGGAGGAAGAAGCTGAGAAGGAAGGGTGTACCTTGTTGAGGCAGTAATAGCAAACCTTAAGAGTCCTCAGAGATTAAGCCTGTTGTAAAACAGCAAAGATCATTTTTGAGTTGCTACTTAGGTTTTCCTCAGAAGTCTAAAAAAAAAAAAACCCTTCCAAAAAAACCCTCCAAAACCTGTCTTAAAAGGAAAAAAAAGAAATCCCCATTCAACTTATCAGCCAACCTCCTGGTGGCGATTTAGTTGTTCATTAAACTAGTTTTTTCTTGGCTGTTTTAAATTTATAAAGTATTTTTTTTAATTAAAGGCAGCTGTTTACTTTAGAAGTAATTACTGCTTTTAACAACTTACAGCTATACCCATAGGATAGAAAATGAAAAATGCCTTTCTTAACCGTGTGGGACTTTGTTTGCAGGAGATGAAATTATCTCTTTGGAACTTGCTCAAGGGAGGTGGGGGTAGAATAGTTGTGAAAAAAGTCACATTTAAAAGGCTGGGTCCAAGCTATTCTGTATCTAGTCTGAGTGAAGGCATCTCTCAGAAATGTAGATCTCTTTTAATATGTTGTATCTCCTCCAGAGTCACGGAGAAGGACTGCCTTGCATTTCCTGCTGCTCTTGCATTCTAAAGCGTAGTTATAACGAGCATTTATTAGCCTGTTCATCGAACACATTTGTATGACTTGAAATATGTGCATCTTGGAGACCTGTAGAAGTTGTTGGTGTTCTTTTCTCATTAACTCTGTTGGCTCTGCAGTGATTTATCAGAGAGTTTGGATTCTGTTCTGATCTGTGCAAAATCAGCAGAAGAGCAGGATGAAGTCCTAGCAGAGAAGCCCAAGAGGCACATTTGATTTGCCTGCCAACTTGCATTTGCAAGTTGTAAGTTAGGAATAGAACATTTTCTTGCAAATCAGCACATGGATCTGAAAAGTGCCGAATGATAATAAACTGCAGAGTTAGAAACTGCCGCATTAATTGAGTGCCTGCACTTAAATTCTCAAAACGTAAACTTACTAAGTTAGAATTTTAGATCTTATCCTATCCATGCAAACTATCCTTGCATCTTATAAGATGGATTCTATTTTTGGTAATTGCAGTGCTGTCAACAGAGAACATGGTAGTTGATTGCTGTTTGGTTTTGGATGGCCGCATCTTATAAGATGGATTCTATTTTTGGTAATTGCAGTGCTGTCAACAGAGAACATGGTAGTTGATTGCTGTTTGGTTTTGGTTTTAGATGGCTCTTGTTTTGTTTGGTTGTGCTTTTTTTTTCTTTTAAAGAAATGCAAATGCAGTGGACCTTGCCTAAATGGGGAATTATTTTATCTGGTTTATTTTAAGTGTTTGAATTATTATCAGTTTAAGCACGTGCCAAATCTATATTAATTTCAAAAGCTCAAACACTGTTTGAGGAAAACTTGGAATTTTTGATGGAGGACGCAATAGAATTGCCAAGTTTTCTCAGATATTTTGGCATTTCTAAGCCCTGTTAACCATCACATTTTAGAGCTTCAATATTGCGCTGGTCTATAGCTGAGCTAGTAGGGTTTCATTTGTAAATTCTTGTATTTCTCTTCTGACTATATGTTTTCTTTAGGAAGGGATCTTTTGTTTTGTTTTTTACTCGCTGATGTCTCAAAGGAGGTTCTAATGACTTGGTTACCTAACTACGGATGAAATAGTCATTTTTATGTTGAATGTATAGAAGTAAAGACTCAAGTAGGTCTGTTTCTATTAGTTTTTACTTACGATTAATATACTCCTGTTCTTCCTTTTCTGTTAGTATAATCATGTCTTCTGCTGAGCTGAAAGTAGCAGTAGCACAGTCTGAATACTGTTCTGTGACTGTCTGAGTTGTGGTAGCAGAAGACACCTTGCATACAAGTAACATGAATGACAACTTTTAAAAATGGATAGGGCTCTGAAAAACAAACCCGCCCTTCTCTCCAAGTTTCCTAGGAGTAGGAAGAAGCCAAAGTTGGAGTTTTTTTGAAAGACAGGTGATTGAGAAGTGAGAAGGTGACAGTGGAATAACGCTCTTGGTGTGTAACAGTGTGTAGCCCGGTTGGCTCACCACTGAGATGGGGAACAAGAAACCTTTGCTTCTCCTTCATCCTGGCATCCTGCAAGGATTTCTAGTTCTCATTCTTTTCCCTCTTGGCAAGAGACGAGAAGCCAGCATTAGCATTAGAGATGAGCTTGATGTTATGCTGAATGCTTCACTCGGGAGGCTGGGTATTGATAAAACCGTTAGTATTGACCTCCTTTTCGAGCATGTAATGCTTTGAAGGGTAGCCTCGAAGTTGCCCTCCCACTGCTGCCTCTGAGCAGAAGCAGTGACTGAGAGGTCAAAAACCTCTTAAAAGAGAATTTTTAGTGTTGTTGTGTTGTCTAACTTGCCCCCATGAAATAAGAGAAGGTTGTGGAAGAACCTTCCCTCCCATGCCTAAAGTTCTGTAAAGAGCCTGTATGTCCTGACCTATGTAGTGAAGACCAGAATATTACTGGGAATCACAGGTAGCTAGTTAAGAAACCTGAAGACACATACACAAACATATATTCACAGTTGCTTTTGTTTTTTAATAGTTTGAGCTTACCTGAATAACAAACTGTGCTTCATTAATGTAGTCCCTGGAGCCTTACCGTTGTTGCCCTTTAGCGCTGTCACTCGCCTCTTTCTCTCGAATGTCTCTAACATTCTTCTGCATTAAATCTTGCCACTCAGTGGGGAGATTTTGCTGTTGAAAAAAACAAAATGTTAATCAAATACAAACTATTGATTTGACTTTTTGTTACTGACATTTTTAAAACAGAGAAGAAAGATGAAGTGGTGTATTATGACACTTTCGAAAGTATGGAAGCCATGCTTGAAAAAGAGGATATGGCAACATCTGTGCATCTGCAGAAAGAGGAGTTGCAGAAATTGCAACAAAAAATCCGCCAGCTGGAAGCAAGGCGTGGACGGATTTCAGCCAAGAAAGCCTACCTCAGAAATAAAAAGGTACTTTCAATTTCAAAATTCTATCATAATTTTACAAATTTTGTGAAACTTGTGAGGATTGCTATTCGGATACAGCTTCTAAGTCTCTCAGAGTTTTCATGGATTATACTTATTCAGTAAAAGTTGTTTTACACTGCTAAACAAATACAATGGTATGTTTTTATCAAACTGACTTATTTAGAATTCAGTATATTACTTTAGCTTTATTGAAATTTTTAATGAGTTAGAACTGCGGGAGCAGAACAGGAAAGGAAATCAAAAGTTACTAATTTCTATTAATGAGAATACTTTCTTGTGGAGATGGTAGCATATTTTTATAGAGAGCAAATATATATTTTTTTTAATTTGAAGACAATCTTCAAGAATATTGTCTTACTAATGAGTCAGTTATTTTCATTCTCTCATCTCTTAACTTAGGTATTGTGCCATTGATTCCCTGTTTTTCTACATTTGTCAAACATTAAATCCAATATATGTTCTTCATTTGTAAAACTAGGTTGTGTTTTAAAGTACTTTGTGCTATTTACTTAGTGCAGAAAATTCTTGCATAATGGCTAATGTTTTGAAATTTTATATCAAGTGTAGGTAAATATGTTCATTCCTTTTTCTAGAATGACTTATTGTTCCCAGCAGTTTGCAATTACATCAGTATGCATTATTAACGAGGAGGGAAGCTTAAAAAATATAATAGATCAAAATTTTTAAGATGGCAGCGTAATCTCTTTTAGAAAATATGTTTTTCACCTGGTGCCATACAGTAAAAGTCCATGCAGAATTCTCTTTTAAGACTACCTTCTGAATTTGGAGCAGGGCCTGGTATGATTGTCTATTCCGAATCCTATGGGAGATCACACTTCTGTAAATACTGTAAATAGTTTCAACAGACTCGGGGTAAAGATATCTCCTCCCATTCATAACTAATACCTCTGCATCTAAATCTCAAGCCTAGCAGAGGAGATAAAGCACTTACTAGAAGCTGGATGTTGCTCCATACTCACTTATGGGGGAGTAAGTAGAAGTACCAGTAACTGAATGCCCTAGTTAGATGCTTAGCTTTCAGCTACCAAAGGAAATACAGAACAGAAAAATTGCAGGGGGAAATCAAAGGTTTGATTTGTGCAAAAAGGATAAGCATGATCAGTTGTTCTGTGACCTTTTACAGTACTTGCTAGAGAGAAAAGAACATAGCCAGTTCTGTGAATATTTATGTTAAACAGGTATTTACTGTAGCTGCTACTACGATTTACCTGGAAAATTAAGAGTCTTGTGTCTTTCCTTCAAAAATAAGCATTGTATCTTGAATTAGTATTGCAATGGTATGGCAAATCATGTTGTTAATGCACCTTACTTACCGCGGCTGTTGTGCTTAGTTGCACTTCAGAAGCCTGTAAAAAGATGAAGTTCTTGTTCAGAAGAGTTTGTGGTAACTCGCACATGCAGAGCGCTGGTGTCGACGGGTGCGCGGGAAGGTGGATGGCGAGAAGGAGTGAGGCTGGGGGTGGTGGCCGTGAGGAGGAGGAACGGGCTGTTGAGGGTGGATTTGGGAAGCGCGAAGGCCCTGTGGCAAAGCTCCTTCCTGAAAGTATGTCTGTCCCCTGCGGTGAAGGAACGCGTGCTGGTGGGCTGAGAGCCCGAGAGCCTGCTCAGGGCCTTGCAGGTTGGGTTCTGGGCTGTGCCTCATTTAGCAGGCTTAAAATATACCTTAAGAAAGCATTTTGGTGTTGGTTAGTGGGGTTTAGGTGCCCCCTTTACATGCTCTTTCCTTCTGCTTTTTAGAAATTCTCTGCCCTTTTTTTCCACCTGATGCTTTTTATTTTTTAATTCTGTTGTCAAATAATTTTAACAAACTTTTTTTTTTTTAATTATAAGCTTTGGATTAAGCTCTTTTGCTAGAGCGCTTGTTCTGTTGTGATTTTGAGCTACGGAGCCGGCGCTGCTGAGTCGGTGCTTTCACTGAGGTGGATGCCCCATGTTTTGCCATGCCGTGGGGAGCACGGACTTTTCTCTCCTCCTGATTCCTCACCCTGAGCCCCGTTTGCGTTTGTGGAGTGATCGTTTCCTGATCCTCCTGTGTGTCGGTGCAGGCGAGCTAGTTATTCAAGAACCAGATTTCAGCAGCCATCTCATTATTGTGCCGCGTTTCGGGAAGGCCTGTGCAGGGCCTCGCGCACAGACGGCATCTCTTGCGGTCACGGTTCCCCCTCTGCTGGCCACAAACAGCCAAACAGCTGGAGAGCCCAGAAGGAGGCGAAGTGAGGTCGCAGAAGGTGTCTGGGGAAATGTCTGGGCGAAGAGAGGTCGCAGAAGGTGTCTGGGGAAATGTCTGGGCGAAGAGAGGTCGCGGAAGGTGTCTGGGGAAATGTATTTGAAGTTGGGTTAGCGCGTACACAGGAAAACTCTTCCTCCTTGTAAGCGGCTGGGAAAGTGGCTGGCTGGGGGAGTCGTGTGAGGTACGTTCCTAGCATGTGCGAGAGCTCTGCACCAGGGCAGAAGGGTCGATCATCCCCTTTTCTGTTTTTCTTTCAATCCTTTGCATTTTGCCAGTGTGAGATTGTTGAATTATGGTCAGCTGGTTGTCCACCTTCATCCTCCAGATCATTCTCTTTCGTGCTGAAGTGTTCCTCTTCCCCTGCTATTTGCAGTTGCTCTCGCCCGCAATTAGAGCCCTGTGCTTATCCCTAGGAAAGTGCAGCCTTTTTTTAGACCCTTTCTGTAATTACTGCAGATGATTCAGAACTCTAATCTCGTGCTGCAATGTGGCTTCAGCCCCTGCCTAGGTTTTTTGCTTCATTTCAAATCATAGAAACCTAATTACATTTATGTAGGTCATTTCTTTCTTAGTATAAAGTCAATATGAAATACGTTTTTGTCCAGCTTATGCTCTTTTTTTAGAGTAAAGTTGTAGCCTCTCGGCTCTTCTGGCCCTGCTGCAGTATGAGGCAGGGGGCTGGTGCCCCCAGTGCTGCATGTGCCCCTGTTTGGACCCAATTTGCTTGCCCAGGCTGCCCAGCTTCCCAGCCCGCAGCTCTGCCCCGTGCCCTGTCGAAGGTCTAGCTCTTGTCTGCTCCTGCGGGTGCCTTTTCTTTGCAGCTGATGCTTGGTGCCGTTTGGGTTTCCTGTGCAGTCTGCCTGAAGCTTGGGTGTCGCGACTGCTCCAGTCAGCGATTGTAACTCATCCTGTTGCCTTCTGAGTTTGATCCTGTTTGCAGGCAAGGCAACAAATGCTTGCTTTTGAACCTGACACCTCAAATGTGGATTTTGTGTAATAAGGGAAGCTGTTTGTGCATGCATAAAATTCTAACAGTTTCATCTATGTTTGTACTTGCAGACTGGTGGTACATGCAAAAGATGAACTGACACTTGTAAATGGGAGGCTGCCTAAACAGCCTTCTGTTTCACAAAAACAGAAATATATAGTGTATTTGACTTTCCTTGGGTTACTATTATTCACATTTACTAATATACGGAGCTGCATGTGGATTTTATGATCCCCCAACTATCTGACAAATCATCAGGTCTTGCCACTTCCCTACTGCTGCTCAAGAGCTGCTGCTTGTATGTATTGTTTTGGCAGTTAAAAGTAGTAAAAGTTTGGATTTTGTCTTGATTTTACGTTTCATGGTGTTATTTCTAAGGTAGACTAATGAGGTTGAACAGCTTTTTTGGTTGTTTTTTTTTTATATATATATATATAATTTCTGTTTTCCCAAATCTTAGTGCGTTTTGCTAAATGCTGCATTTCATATTGCAAATTGATATTTGAAATACAGTATGCTTTGTAGATAACATGTTGTGTCTCCACAGGAGATCTGTATCGCAAAGCATAATGAAAAGGTCCAGCAGCGTCACCAGGGCGAGGAGCAGTATAGATTGCACCATGCTGTGCACCTGGTAAGTCTGATCGCCCTGCTAGTTAGGTTAGCCTTGGCTAATTGCCTCTATTCCTCATTATACTTCCATTAGCACTTTTCAGTGATGGCCGTTTAAACAGATGAAGTGTGTCCCTGACCTTTGGACCATGGACTTCTGTACTGTGTTGTGCTGGTGAGAGGATGTATGTAGCTCTGTTAGGATGACACTGAACCTAAGCAAATAAAACAGTTCATTAATAGCAGGTTTGCAGTCCAAGTCATTACTGTGAGGCACTTGCAGAGCTTGTTAACATTTGCACGTAAATGATTCTGGACACCTCTGAGTTCATTATGGATATGGTGAAATGAGTAAAGAAACCTTATGAAATTACTTTTGCATGGTGGTTAAGATTGTTCATTATTTTTCTTTCACTGGCTTTTTAGAAAAACAAAAAATATTGTATTATGTAAAATATGTAGTTTCAAAAATGTACTCCATTTTTCTCTGAGCAGTCTCATCATGGAAAGTAAGCTACATAGTCCAGCCGTTGTTGTGTATAATCAGTCTTATCTTAAAGGATATTCAAGTTCTGGGTGAGGTCCTGGGAGCTCATAGGGTATCAATATTTAATAATGACTACTTTGTCAGAGATGCACTGAAATCCAAGTCTTTTTAATTAACGCTTCAGTTAGATTAGTGAAGTGATTCTGTTTCATTCTTAGACATTTTCAACATTGATATGTTTGTCCAGAGAGTCAGCTGCATTATTTATGCTATGAAAAGGCTGCTACTGAAAGACAATGTAAACTGGCTACTCTTGCAGGAACTTGGAACAATAAAGCAAAGGACTTTGCTGTATAGACTGTAGTTCATTTATCACTTTTGGAATAAGAGTTGCCAGTGCTGGCAACTTTTTCTTACTTCTCAGGCACTACGATTTTTTTTTTTAATTACTTATTCCATGAACTTGGCAGCTTGCATTATACTAAAAACCCTTATGTCATTTTAAATTTTTTCATTAATAACTTGACTGAAATTTTCTACTATTATTTTAAATAGGCTTTCAGCCACTTGCATTCATGAAAAAAAAAACAAATCCAAAGAATTGCAAATTCACTGTTTTTGTATTAAAAAAAAAAAAAGAACATCAAGATCAAGCCTTTGTTTCAGGAAAGGTTCAACCTGATTGCCTGTGAAACACTCAGGTGTGCTGGTAGGAGCACTAGCCTTTCTTCTTGCTGTGATCTTTTCTTTATGCTTCCTTTGTAACTTTTTTAACCCCCCCTTTTTTTGTTTATTTTTCACTTTTTTGTCCTGGCCTCTTTTTGTTTTCATGTCCTCTTTTCAGCCGTGTGCTCCTCTTTCACTCCCTAAAGCCTCTATACTTACCCCCTTTGAAAGCAGAGAAATTGGACCTTTATAAGGATACCAGGCAAGTCACTGGCCTATGAATGTGGTAGGCAAAGGCTGCTTTTATGTTGGCCAGGTGAGAATGTATGTGCACTAAGGTGATCAGAGCTGGCAGTGGTAAAGATCAGCCTTTAATAGTAACACTTAATGCCATGGGCTTTTTAAGAATTGATGCTGCTCTTTTTGCTTAGAAAGTTTTTTTTACAGTCATCTGGATAACTTCTGAACTCACAAATCCACAAATCTTTCAGTAACTAGTGTCCACCTGCAGTAAATCTGACTGAAGAGCAGTGTTTCCCCTCAGAGATGAGGTAACTTTGCTTACATTTTGTGAAAACGTATGACTAGTTAAAGGAGATAGATCCAGATGAGTGTTTTCACTGAAGTAGGATCCCCAGACAAGGAAACCAAGTAACTGGTTTGGCTGGGAGGAAGAGCTTCAAACCTTTATTCAGAGAAGATTACAGAAAATCAGGCTGCATTGAATAATGATTTGTTCATTAAATACAAAATTTTAGTTTACTATTACAATGTATCTGTAATAATTTTCTTCAAAAAATTTGGTAAATATTAGATTCGGAGTTTTGTGACACTTTGTCCTGTGGCTTCTTGCACTACAAAAACACTAAGACTACTTGCTTTTAATGGGTAGCCTTGTGATTATTATTCTTTCGTTCCTGGCGTGAGAGAAAATGAGCTCTGGTTTGCTCTGGCTTATTTGTATCATGTTAGTTTATACTACTTTTCAGAATAATAGTCTACCATGTCTTTTGTAGCTTATCATCTCTTAAGGTAAAAGGTTCCAGTACTTTTCAGTCTTTATTGAATTTTGTGTTTCTTTAAGGGTATAAAATATATAATGCATAATAGCTGTTTCCTTTTAAGGAGAAGGGCAAAGCTTCAAAGTTCAGAAATAAGTCTGTTAGAGAAGAGATTGTTAGGCAGTTCCTAACAATTAGAAGAGTTATTTTATTATTACCTTTTTTCATTTTAAAATGTAGTATTGGAAGTAGAGTTTGTTTTCCATTGCTTACATGTTTCCCATATATTTTTTCAGAAGAGAGATCAACTACAAGATGAAGAGGAAAGAAAGAGTTCCTGGGTTAGCCAAGAGCGACAGAAAACACTGGACAGACTTCGCACATTCAAACAGGTAAAGGTTCTTCTTTCTTCCATTGTCTTTTGAAGAAGAAATCTTCACTGCATTCCAGGAGCATAAAAAGTAGAGTGAATAACTGTTATAAAAAAGATATTTCACACAAAGAGCATTATCATTTGGCGTAACCCGCCTCACTCCCACTGATTTTCAGACCTGCACACCAGATAAAGAATAGAACATGGTGAGAAGGAAGGGGAGGTTGTATGGGAGTATGAGGTTTTATTACTGAGAAGTTGTACTGCTCAGCAAAACACCATTTACACTCTTATTCTTTGTAAGACTTTCGAATTACACAACCTTTGTAAATTAAAGCAAGGTTACTTATTACAACAGCACTGTTAATGAATTTACTGTATATATGTGTGTGTGTGTGTGTGTATATATATATAAAATGATATAAACATATATGATATAAACATATGTGAATATGTTTATATTGATATGAATTCTGTTGCTTTGGGCTTGCCACAGTGTTTAAGATTTCTTAAGACCTGACTTTGAGAAACAGTTTTTACTTTTGCATAAGAATGGCTAGGGGTGAAACTCTAATGTGAAAAGACAGACTGCAAATTTAGGAACTGAATTAACAATACTCTAGAAATTCTCAAAATGTTTGATATTTTCAAGACGTACCTTATTAAGTAGCAAGATTCATATTAAAAACCAGCCAGATCTCTGTTGTGGCTTAACTAAGAATAAAAATTAAGAAAATGACTTATTTTGATGTAAAAACAAGGATATTCTTGCTTTTTTTTAACCTTTGGAACAAAATGAAAGAAAATATTTGAGAGATTTGCTCATCAGAAGGGCAAAGCCTAATGACAGTTATTTAATTATCAAAAATAATGTGTTGCATGTACTTATCTAATTGTAAAAAAAAATGCTTCACTTCAGCGGTACCCTGGGCAAGTAATACTTAAATCAACCAGACTACGCCTGGCTCATGCAAGAAGAAAATGTGCAGGCAGCTCGATACCCACTATAGATCAGCCTCAGTCTTTGCCAGCGACCGTCCAAACCCAAAAGAAGAACGAGGAGGTGGAATTGGAAAACACAGTCCAGCCTTTGCAAGCGCAGGAGCCCCGAAGCTTGGAACAACTTGCAGGTGTTTTGTTACCTCCCCATGGCATTACCTCCGAACTGCCCCATGCTGGGACTCCTCCTCACGCCGGCAGTGAGCTCCAAGCAGAGACTGTGACTGTAGTACCCCTTCCTCCTCCTCTGCCTCCGCCACCTCCACCGCCACTCCCACCGCTGCCTTCCAAGGAAGATGGCAGTAAATCCCCGGAGAAGGCGGAGAGCCTTGGGAAGCCGCGGAGCGAGGAGAAGGGCGTGCAGCACACTCCCGGCGGCCCCGCCGCCCACCTGCTTGACAGCAGCCAGCTGGTCAGTGCCAAGAAAAAGCTCAAGAAGACGGGTGATCTGGAGGGTTTGCAGAGGAGGAGAGGTAATGCTCCTTTTGTTACAGTGTGTTTAGCTGAAATGCACCGATTCCCCTTTTGAATTGTTATCTAGAAAAGTGTATGCTCTGACTAGTCATGCAAAAAAGCAAGTTAGAGTTGGAAGATCAAAAACGTGCTGCAGAATCGAGGTGAGTGGATAGAGCACAAGGCTGAATTGGGAGATCTGTTACAAACTCCTTATGTGATTCTGTACTGATTATTTTTAACCATCTGTTATCCTTTATCACATATATAAAATGGCTGGAGGAAATATAGCAAATATGAAATGAAATTATATCCTTCCTCTGGATAGGATTGTCACTACCTCCAGCTGCACTGTCCATTGCTCTGTTTTTCCGTAAGTTTGGAATAATGTTCCAAACCTCTTTAGAAGTCTCTCTTCTTTGACAAATGAATGTATTAAGACCTTTCTTCTCCCCTTCAAACATACAATCCTTTTCTTCTTCAATTTCAAGCTTTTTTTATCTTGTCTATTCCTGTAAGTACCCTTAGTCAGATGGACAAAGTCCACTCACAAATGCAAAGTGTTTTTAAAAAAGTATTGTACAACAGACATAGAAGAACTGGAGATGGATACTGATCTATTGATTTGATACGTTGCATTTTGTCTGTGCTGTCCTGTGCTATGTGGTGTGCAGTGTTGCACCGTGAGTATTACACCACATTCTCTGACATAGAGATCTTATCTACTTCCAGCTCTTCAAAGAGCTAAACCTTGATTTTATTTCTGCACAAAGCTAGTTTCAGGTTGGTGAGAAAGATAGTGATAAAATAACTGTTACTTTTCTGCTTTCAATAATTATGAGGGATTTGTTTGTATAATCCACTTTTCACTTGGTAATGAGGAAGATAAGTGTGGAGGCTAAAACCAAAATACGACTACAGAATCCTGAAATTGAAAATACTGGTTTCCTTTATACTTACCAAACTATTAAATTAATTGCACGTAGCTACTTTTATTTCTACAGGAAAAATAACTGAAGACCGTGACTGAATAAATTTAGTAAAAATAATACTGAAAGTCTTTTGATTTACTGCAGTGAGTTCCCCGATGGATGAAGTATTGGCTTCCTTGAAGCGTGGTAGCTTTCACTTGAGAAAAGTTGAACAGAGAAGTCTCCCTCCTTTTCCTGATGAAGACGATAGCAATAACATCTTGGCACAGATCAGGAAAGGCGTGAAACTGAAGAAAGTGCAGAAAGATGTTTTGAGAGAATCTTTTACAATTCTCTTAGTTTTTTTTTTTTTTTTTTTTTTTAAATATTTCTTCAACACTTTTTGTATAACAATAGCTGCTAAGCCTCAGGTTGTGCGTTCTAGAAAACTTAGTATGAATGCAACTAAACTATCCCTGACCTCCAAACTGATAAAAAGTGCAAATATGAACTTAGTATCACTGACTTTTTGGAAGAGTTTAAGATTTGTAGTAAGAAGGAAAACTTCTAAGCACTATCTTAGCCTTTTTCTTTGTCTGAGCACTTTTGCTGAATATTAACAGATCTGCTCCTGCGAAAAGCTCTATTTAGTAAATTGAAGGAACTATTTGCAGCTTAAAAAAAAAACTTTAAAAAGCTTTTAGGTGACCATGCAGCACAATCACTCTTGAACACACTCTGTACTTCAGGTATTTTCTAACTGCTTCTGGCACTGTAAAAGACATAGTGTGTTTAAACACTTCAGTCTGAATAGTCCCAAATTGAGGCTGACTATATTCGACCACTGTACACACTGAAATCTCCTTGGTTATCATCCTTTGTGGCTGGCTCTTTGTTTTCAAATCTGCCAACGCTTTGGCTTCATTGAATTTTGGGAATATAAACAGTAAATTTGCAAATACAACTTCTACTTCTGCTGTTCATGCAAATCCCACCAGCTTACACTATATTGAACTTCAGTGCCTGAAAGTAGAGATACTCGACTTGAGCAGATTAAGTTAATGAGTTCAGAACAAACCAAAAATTGGCAAGGGATTAGTTTTCATAATTAAAGCAGCACTAGTAGCACAAAGAGACTAAATTGCAATGCATACACCCTTCCTCTGTGGTAGTTCTTTCCTGCTACTGGCACCTGGATGAAATTAATTGTAAATAAAGAGTTCCAGTAAACTTTTCTGCAAATACCTAAATTTTGGAGAAAAAAGAGAGATGTATGACAATCTGTTAAGAATTTAAAAAGCTGTTTTTAGAAATCATAGAATGTTTAGAAAGCATGGAAAATGAACATAAACATTGCAAAGTACCTAGCACTAGGAAGAAGATAAAATGTTTCTGAATGTTTGCAGGGAGGCAGTTCTACCCTGGTTGGTTATTAGTGGAGCTGGGGAGTGACCGTGTAGAGTGTACAGCAGTTGGATGTACCCCATCATCTCTGGTGCTTTGTGTGGATTTTAACATCCCATGTTTCAACCTATCCATTGGTATGCTATTTCAAAACAGCATTCTAATTTTTTTAAAAAGGAAAATAAATGGTGTGTTGAAGTAGCTGTTGATCATCCTAATACTTTAATGCTGTTTAATTACAGCATGCTGCTGCTGCTGCAGCAAATGTACTGCTAGTTTGGAAAATCCAGGAGTACAATAGTATTTAACTCTTGCTGAAACTCCCAGTGGATCTAAAAATGCAAGAATATATCCAGGAGTGGTATGAATTCATTTAATCTAATTGGTGGGCCTCTGAACATTTTCCAGTGGCAGTACATTCTCGTTTAGAAATCTTATGTATTCACTGCTGGATAATACCCCTGCGTGCGGGTTTGACCTTTTGCAGGCCCTTAGGAGGAAGTGCAGGCTGAAAGGGGCTGCTGTGAGGTGCCTCCAGGGCCCCAGTAGCTGCCTGGTTTTCAGGACATTTCTGTGTCGAACGTCAAGTGTTCTAACAGGCCTCAGCTTGGGCCTTTTCCCCCTGTCCTGCTGGTGCGGAGGTGCGAGTGGGCTCCCTGCAGGCCTTCCACACAGCTGAGACTTGCTTTCTCTCACCAGCTTCATATGTTGTTAGGGAAATATGGGTCATTTAGGTTATTTATTCTTAGGTTATTTAACAGATAGTGCAGATGATTAAAAAAACATTTGGATGACAAGTCAGAAAGTAAAGGCTTGACCATGAATGCAAGTGCATGAAATAATCTGATTTTTAGAAACAGACTGAAACACAGTCCTAGTGAAATTCAGCTAAATAAATACTTTTCACATAAGTGTGTGCGCTTGCTTAAGCATACAAAGTGATTACCCAGAATTCATTACACAAGAATAAAAATCTATTAAGTTTGTTGTAGAAATGTTGTTGTGTTTTTTTTTTTTTAAACTTTAAGGTTAGCAGTTTAATATCACACTTTATTAAGAAGATTGTGCTGATTTTTAAATCATATGCTCTTCTGACAAAGAAACACTTCTATAGAGATTTTTAGAAAACTGAAAAGTTATACAAAAGTGTATGGGCATGTACATTACATAGTTTAATATATATGTTTAATATTTATACATTCTTCCTGGCTAAATATAGAGCAGTTATTTGCCTTGAGAATTAAAGTTAAATCTGGTTTTTGATGTATGTTTATCAATGCAGAAAGGGTCTTCAAGTACGTGCAGCAGTGGGAAAGGAGAGTATTAGTAGTGCAGGAATGAAGTGAAGTCTTCAGTTACTGAGATGTGAAGACAGAATAATGGTAACTGCTCCAGGCAATCTAGTTATCCCCTTTGTTACCTGTTTTAGGGAGAAATTAACTCACAAAGCTACATGACTGCCTTTTTGAGGCAGTGGAGCAGTTTGTTCCTTCAGTCACAGGTCTAGTCCTCGGATGAGGTGTGGGAGGCCTCAAGCTCCAGCCCAGGGCTCTGCTCCGCTCTGCACTGCATGCCCGGGGTTGCCTGGTGCCTGGAAGGAGGGGGTTTGCTCTGCTGTTTAGCTTTTCAGCAGTTCCTTCTGTTTTGTTCTGTTTTCTTAAACAGGTGATTCACAGCCACTGAAGTGAGAAAAGCAACCCCAATGGAAGATTACTTTCCCTCTTCATTTCTGAAAATTCAGACCCAACAGTTTTGACCATCAGTTCCACAGTAGGCTTTCTTTGGCAAAGAAATAGACTTTCTTTGGCAAATGATTCAGTATGTGGTGGTGGGGGGAAAACAGCCTGAAATATGGATTTTCAGGTCACTTTTTTCTTTAGTTTCTTCAAAAACTCCTGGGTTGGACAGCAAGCTAAGTTGTTTAGATGTGCATTTTTTTTTATAAACAAGAGTGGAAGATGTTTGGGATGCTCACCCAGTTCTTAAGCACTTTTAATATTTGTGTGAATAACGAACGTGTGGCCAGTTAAGCGAGAAGGGCTTTTGGAATGGGGAGAAAACTTGTTGTTAGAGTAACTTCAGTTAAAACATCAAAACAGCTGTAACGCCTCCCCTTCACTGCACTGAATACACTATCTGCTTGAAAACTGACTGAATAGCTCCTTGCAGCAAAGCTTGCTATGCAGCAGTGCAATATTGCAGAAAAGAGCAAAACTGCTCATTTACCAGGATAGTTGCACTACAGTAACTGAAATTCAGTATTGTGCAACTACAATGTTTTTTCTTCTTAGTGTGAAGAAGCATATGTCAGTATGAAAACTAACAGGTTACTACAGTGTAAGGAGAGTTAAGGGTTGAATTCAGTATGTATTCAAGAGCGTGTTGTTTCCAGTGTGGTGCATTTTGCAAGGCATACTGCAGCTCCTTTCTAAAGGACATATGTAGTCTTACACCTTTTCAAAGTAGACATTTTCATGCTTTTTTAAAAAAAATATTTAGCTATGCTGAACGAAGTTAATTATACTTTAATCATTTGTTATAAGAAGCAATATTTTGTAATTTCATACTTAAAATTATTTTTCTGTCTTGGTTAGAAATGGCTTTTGTTTGATTATTGTAAGTAGCCTTCTTTAGAAAAGATCAAAGCGCTTAATACTTCAGTTGTGAAAATTATGCTTCCCTTGTTGGTTTTTATTATTCCCTTTAGTGACCACAAAAATATTTCTCTTTCATACCCCAGAGCCTGTTGGCTGAAAAACAAGGTCGCTTTTGATCTTGGATTTTTTTTTTTTTTAAGGAGAGTCGTACCTTCCTCTGCAGTGTCTACTTAGTCATGAAATTTAAGGTTATTTCTAACAGCTGCAGGCAGCTACTCTTACAGTATTACAATTCTAAGAGTTATATCAGTACAGAGATAAAAGTAGTCATGTATCATCTAGAAAGTCATCCTCTATTAAGAATTTTTAAGAAAATTAACTTTTCAGTAACATTTTACTTTTACTAGCATGGCATACACTGCATTTGAGAAAATACCATCATTTCCCTTTAGAGGTGATGTTCTATTCACTGTTCCTGTTGTGAAAGACAAATTGCTATGTGGATTTTTTTTTTTTTTGTTAAGTGGAATTGTGTATTGCTGCTGTCATATAATGAGCATGTACAGTGTTAATAACAGGAGATTTCATGTCTTGCCATGTACTCTTTTTAAACAGGAACAGGAGTACTTACCTTAGCAATAGGTTATATAACCTGAAGGAACTTCAGATCTTGGACCCTTCAGCTGTTTTGCTGTGGCTGTCCTGTAATTAAAATTCTATCAAACATCTCAAAAGGATGTCACCTTGCCCCTGCTAGCGACAGGCATCGTCTTTACATCGTGGCCTTAAAGTTAGTGAGCGCCCGTGAGCAGCGTTACTGCAGAGCTGTCGGTTCTGCTCTGTCACTTGTCAGGTCTGGGTTCTTCTCTCCTCCCAAGACCGGCGCTCTGAAACGTTTGGGTGTTCCCCGGCTTTCCAAAGACCTGGAAGTTTATAGCACTGCCCCCCTGCTCCTTTAACCTGCTGATACGCAGAGGGAGTTGCATGGTGTGGTTGCAAGTTGTCTGTCTGTATTTGGGCAGTAACACACAAATTTTTCATAACCATTTGACAAAGCCTGTACTGAAGGCAGTGGTGTATTTCCACTCTGCTGTTGTTTGTACTTCCAGTCATGCCACTCTTTACAACTGAATGAAAATTTGGCCATAACACAGAGCAAATCTGTGCAGACACTGGCAGAATTCCAAGTCAAGGGAAAGCAGGATGATTTAACATAGAGCTGTAGCAGTCCTCATGCACAGTGTTTGCATCCACAGTTCATCACGGTGTTGTGCTCCCTCCAAGTGGTAGCTCCATGCTCTAGTGTACTGCAGGGTTTTGAGATTTAGTCACCATGTGAGCTGTCAACTTTGCCTTGAAAATGTGTGCATGATTTCAAAAAAAAAATGTTCTTGGTATGTTTTATACCTAGCTAAAATGTTTAGATTCCTGTAATAGCTTAATTTATATAAGTGTATTTCTCTTAGGAACGTGTATTTTATGTGCACACAAAAATAAGTCATGCTGAGCGCAGCGGTTTATATCAGTTCCGTTTGCCATCTTCAGTGGGAAAGTACATTGCTTTTTCCCACAGAACACTAAAAAAAGAAAAAAAATCCCAGTCCTCCAGGAGTCACTAGATGTCACAATTTCACATAATATTCCACTTTGGTGCAATAATTGTGTATATGTAGTATATAGGCTAATGCTATTCCCATCCTTCTTGGTAATGGGAAAATTTGTAACGGGAAGGCTGGAGCAACGGTGGAAAAAGTCCAAGCATATTCACAGGGATCTAAAACTATGACAATCCTGCATTGGGTTTGGCACCTGTGTAGCTGAGAAAAACTCTGATAAATGTGTTGGTGCTTCAGAAATCATAGCAAGCATCATTACAAAAAAGACGCTTATTCTTAAATACAAAAAAGGCACTTATTCTTAAATACAGAAAAGAGCCTCCATGGAAAAGTCCTTGCTACAAATTTCTGGTATTTGCCCCTTATGGTTGAATTTCACCGTTGGGGCTGGACTAGTTTATTGCTAGTCATTTATCTTCAGCAACTTGCCAGCTTTCAGGATCTTTCCATGCCTAGCAACTTGCTTCCTTTGTTCAAACCAAAACCGTTTTAGTTTAGTATAACAGATCCAGTGAGGCAGAGTTAGAATAAATAACGTTGTTCTACAAATGCGTGTGTGTGGGAACAGGAAACGAAAAATTGATTTTCTGCTAAAATAACCAAAATGTAAGGTAAACAAGTGTGGGAATCATCGAAGGAGCAGGGACTTAAGATTTAGGACCAGAAGCCCGAAACCATTTCATGGAGCATCAGACCAAACTCACATCCTCGGAGCACACGTGAGCAGGCGCTGTCCCCGCGCTGTCCCCGCGCTGTCCCAGCGCTGTCCCCGCGCTCCCTCCCCTGTCTCCAGCCCCTTCCTCGACCCCGCTGCCGTCCGGGTCCGATCCTGCCACCGGCCAGCACGCGCCAGGGGCGGCGGCTGCCAGGCTGTGTTTTAGGTTTCTCTACCTGTTATTCCCAACTTTCACAGTTTCTCACTCCTAACTTTCACTGTCCCCACAGCTTCCCCCAGTTTTTCAGTTTCCCACGAAAAACGATTGATCAGAAATGGAAATTGCATCTACGTGAATTTCATTCCCTCCTTGATAGAGGCTCCAGCTCCTTTAAAAATAACCCATATTATTATTTTGTTCACTTTCTTGCTATGCTGTCATGTTTTAGTTTAGCTGCCTTTTTAGGGTAGAGGAAAGCTTTATTTTTCTTAACCATCCCTTTCAAGGTTAAAAAAGGAAAAAAAAAAAAAAAGTCTGCATCCTCCACCAGGTATCTGTAAAAATAAAGTAGTCTGATCATATGTTGTGTTCTTTTGTGGCTGCATCAGGGGTAGAATTCAACATACTTCACTGTGTTATTTGTAAAGAAACATCGTGGCTCTGAGCACAGTATTCTGTAAGTCTACTATTAACGTAACGACAGGAGTATTATTGCAGATGCAACGTCATGAGAAGAGGAAGCAGAAGCTCTTACTTGTTAACGTAACCCTTAATTCCGTATGTTGCACTGAATTTCAACGAGCGTAATTTGTAACTCAAGGTTACTCTCATGTGTAAGCAGATACTATTTTCAGTGTGATGGTTATACAATTACGTTACCTGTGTTGATTTCTGGTAATGATTCCAGAATAAACATGACCAATATATTGTTATGGTTAGTCCTAGAGAAAGAACATTAAGGGCAAGTGAAGATTATTGCAAGAAAAGGAGTAAACAGAAGCACCTTACTGAGAGAGTGTGCTGTGTAATTCGACTGCTGCTGGAGGTGACGCAGTAGCACAATCTAAACTTGATTGCAAATTGCTCTTTGGTGTTGTAAGCACATTGACATATTGCTGTCAATGCTGTAAAAAATACAGCAGTGGCTGTTTTTAATCTATAAATATACTGTAATTTAATTTTTTCCTACAAAATGGATTTATATTTAATTGCTGCCTAGTATATGTACTTAAAATTAGAGTTTTTAGGAGGGGCGAGGGTGGGTGGGCATGCCCGTACCGTCTGCGGAGGGGCTGCTGTACATACATTTCTTTGCACTTCCCGTTCAGTCTGTCTCAGCCCCAAACTCTGGGCCCTGCCTGCGGCGAGTCTGTGAGCCGACACTTAGGTGTTTGTGTTGTGAGTTTGGGCCTCTCTCCTCTGCGCGTCACAACTCGACAGAAAAGGTCTTTCCACTCTCAAATGTGAATGCTCTGATGTACCTCTAATATGGAAAATGACCAAGCAACGAATTTTACTCTGCAGAGTGTAATATCAATGTAGACTATTATTAAAAGCTGACATCTAAGGCTACTAACCAGTAGTGTGTCCATTTGGAAAAAAAATAAGAATGATGATTGCTGTTTTGATGAGTAATAGTCTAACAGGGCAGAGACTTTTATTCAAGAGACCTTCACCAGTTCAGTAATTAATTTGCCTTAGACTAGCTTAATTAAGATTCCTTCAAGAAATGTTTTGGTTTCTGAATTGGGGAATAGGTGTTGGAACTAGAGACACTCACTTAGCATCTCCCAACATGTTACTGCAGTTGCTGTATATGTTTTGGATTTCATTTTACATATTTACAAATAGCTTCATCATAAGATGAAAGCTCAAGAAATAACAGATGGTTGCAGATTGTCTTGCATGAATGAAACTAGGGAGGGTTAATGAAACTAACTTCTTTTTAAGCCTGTTG